TGAAAATTAGATCATTTCTATCCTCTTCTCTTGCCCTCAGTGTGTCCTGTGAGTGTTAATTTATCAAAGCCTTCTTTTCTCATTCCTTTCTGCTGTTTCTTATTGTTAGAACAGTTTCTTCGTAATACATACTCACTTTAAAATTTCTTCATATGTCACATGTTCCATCCATAGTATTCTCAACATTTTCCAGTAAAAACCTTAAAAGAAGGTGGGATGCTAAACATGGAATTGGTCAACTTATCAAAATCATTAGGACTTTGTATTTCATGCTAACAAAGTGAGAAAAAAAAAATCAAAACAGCTGAGGTTTCCCTTTGATTTAAAGATACTTCTACTTACTAGAAACATTATTTTAATGGGTACACATATCTGAGTAGACATCTTTATTTACAGTGAAATTAACATCTACCGGCCTAGATCATGAAAAGTCTTATTAAAGAAAATATACCAATCAGCATTAATTTTGAAACTGTATTCTCTTCTTTTCTGGGAAACCAAGTTTTTTAGCCAGGCATACCATTACCATTTCAACCATGAATCTCCGTACAACAAGGCAAGACTTAATTACCCTTTTAAAGACTTTTAATAAGACTTTTAATAATCTAGTCCAGGAGACATTAATTTCAATATTTCTAAACCAACAGTGATGTCTACACAAACATATACCATCTAAAATATCATGATATCACTGTGTAACCCTATTAGGGTCATAGAGGTACCACATGTACTGCCACCACAGTAGTGTTTCCTGGGTAAGATAGCCTGATGGAACCCTTTCCAGCCTGGTCAGTACCTAGATGGGTGACCACTTGATAATACTGGGCGATGTAAGCTTGGATATGTGTGTGGTGTGACAATAGCTCAGAATTGTTAATCTGACAATTCTCATTGGGGTCATTATATTCACTCACACACAAATATATTTGGGAAAGGAATGAATTCATCTCTTCTCCTCATCTATTGGTTAATTAGTAAGAATTGTATCACTAAACCTTTTTTTAAATCCATTTTTTTGTTTGTTTTCAATTTTTTTGATAATGAATGTTATGTCTTCAATTTTGCTATAAAAATGTAGTGTTGATAATTTTGCTACAAAAAATGTAACATTGGTCAACCTGGGAACAACAGCAATTAAGAGATGATTCCACACTCCTCAGAACTTTCAATCTCCAGGTTAGAGACCTTGCTGTTGAATGTAGTTTTCATCACACCCTGGACAATTAATACAAAGAGGTGTTGCCTGTGTTGAGAGGCAAAAGAAAAAATCTTTCTATTTCAAAATGGTTTTAACTTTACTTTTTATGTTGTTCCCATGATTTCAGTTGGAGATCATTTTCTAAATTCATCACTTCCCCACCCAGGTCTATCCTCATTATACAAACACTTTTGGTGGGATATTCAGTAATATTACACTGCAAGAAAGAGCAGTTAGCCTAAAAGGCTAGCAGACAAGGCCCATTTATACATTAACAGGAAGAGATGCACAGCAGGGACTTGGCTTTTACATTGAAAACTATCCTAATAAAAACTCTGCTTGAGGTATTTTTCCATTTTAAATAGTTTTTATTTTAAACAACATTACAACAGCCAAGTCAAGATAGAACAAACATATAGTAAATTGTTAGAATATAGACCTATATATGATTGTACATTTCTGGTGAAGTAAGCACATATGTAAAGTATTACTATATATGCAAATCAAATACTCAGTGTTACCAACAGTAAAATTATTCAAGCAAAAAACAAATTAAATTTATTTACTTTGACTAGTGTCCTGATCTTGATTGTTAGTCACAGAATTTCAACTGTTGTTACCCTCTGGTCCTTTCCAGATGTCTATCAGAATTGGTAACCTTCTGGGAATTTCAAATAAACCGTTTCAATCTATGCAAATATATTGTTCTCATTCTGTTGATCATGAGGAAGACTAAAGAGTACAATGGCCAAAATATCCGGACTATAACAACAAAGATGATGATACTAGTTTGACTATATCTGTGGATAATAATTACTCATTTAAAAAAATTAAAAAGGTCAAAGCCATTTTTTTCTACATTAATTTGCTGTACTTCTCCCAATGGGAATACTACTGCTGATAATTGATTAATTTTCTATGACTTATTAACCCTTTGCAGGTTATTTAAAGCCTGAAAATATTTTTTTTAGATTTAAGAATTATTTTTTGGAGATAATAATGGTTTAGTGATACAAGTCTTACTAATTAACCCATAGCAGGTGGATTCATATCATTATCAAAGGTATTTGCACATAAGTGAATATTAACGAACTCAACTGAAATTAGAACTTGTACTTCTAATTATCAATTTTGAATCATTATCCATTACACCACCTGCACATCCAAGGTTAAAGCACCTGGTATTCCTAAGCATTGCTTAACTTTGGTGATCATAAAAGAACTGGTTTTTCAACATGATACGGCCATAAGCTACTGCTGATAATACAGTAAATACTACTAGTATTTATTAGTATTTGACCATCATGTCTTATGAAGTAATCATAGCCCTCTTTTGTTTTAATGGATAATCTTGATACTTCTCAAGAATTACAAAACTAAAGGGTATTCCAATAACTTGGACTGATTTTAAACATGGATTAAATTTAAGAGTTTAATGATTTTTTTTCTTTTTCTTTCAGATTTACCAACTTAAGTCATTGGAAATTTCAACCAGGGAAAGATTAACATTCAAACAATGTGTTAAAGTTTCAAGAGTGCAATTGGAAAATTGTTCGTAAATTCAATTAACTGGGTTGGTAGCAAATATGAAAACACCATTGTGTGCTCGTTTATGCTGTTCAGCTGAAAACATTGGTGCAGTGCACAAGAACGTGGCCGAAAATCCAGACACCTCTATTCGTCAAAATCGCGAAGTGTGCGAAATGCATTTCTCTTTGAACGTCCATTTTTATAATAGGCTTCAATAACTTTAGCACATTGTTTGATTGTTAATCTTTCTATGGTTGAAATTGCCGAAGACTTAAGTTGTTAAATCTGAAAGAAAAAGAAAAAAAATCATTAGCCGTTTAAACTTAAATCAAATCAGTTCAAGTTATTGGAACACCCTTTACAATTAGATTCTGAGCTGGAGGACAAAAAGTAACCAAATGTGAGTGTTCCAAGAACAACATTTTCTGTGGACAAAGACAAGACAATTTGTCTAAGAAATATGCTACATAGTTTTTGTTTTATTTCTTTAATATTTGCAATCTTTTTAAAGAAAATATTATTCCAAAATATCTTGTGACCAACATTTTTGTAAGGATAAAAAAAATAAAATGATTTCAAAAGTTTTAATAATTTTATTTTTTTTTTATATTTTCTATTCATTTACTGTCACAACTGATGGGTGTAGTGGGGAGAACATTTGTGTTCTGACCACAAGTCCTCACTTCAAATCTCACCTGTCAATTCTTAATTACCTCCTCTGATCATTAATGTAATCATAAATAATTACCTCCTTTGATCATTAATGTAATCATAAATAATTACCTCCTCTGATTTGAATAGATATTCCCAGCATGCAACACCATGGAAAATGTCTGAAAAACATACCAACGGTTGATTCAAGACTTGCTAATGAAATTATATTGATGAAGCTGTTCAGAAGTCCATCAGTGGTTGTAGGAAGGTAAGGGTTACATTTCATCCCAAGTCATCATGTATAACAGTTTAAGCACATTGCTCAAAATTGTTGATCATACCAGAATGTGTGCTCTCTCTCCCCTAACTAGTTTCAGTATAAAACACAAGTTGAGTCTGTGGGTGTGGAAGAAACACAAATATGTATATCACAGTTATTACACCCGTGTATGCTGTCATAGTTATTACACCCGTGTATGCATACCACAGTTATTACACCCGCGTATGCATACCACAGTTATTACACCCGCGTATGCATACCACAGTTATGTATTAGTCATGCATCCACAGTTAAACCCGGTATGCATACCAGTCATCCTCTCTGCATTCCCAGTTATTACACCCTCTGGTGGTGGTGGCAGAGATGGCTGTGCATGGCCCACAGTTATACACCTGAATGCATACCACAGTTATGTAGTCAATCCACTGAACTGGGATTGTCATCCTCTATTTGTGTCTGGTGGTTGGCAGAGATGGCTGGACAAATATGCATGAAGAGGAGAAGTCCAGTTTGACAAGGCTATTTGGCCATTTTGAAAATATGCATGACAGAGAAGTCCACAGCTCAAAAGAGATTGAGGCAGGCAAGATCTGGCAAACCTGGTTGCATCAAAGTGTCGGATGCTTGGTCTGTCAAGTTCTGCCTTGGTTATGCCAGCACAACTGCCGCTGTCATCTTCTGCTGGTTTGGTCATTGAGATCATGTAGATCTTTGATTATTCCACTGTTGGGTTTTTTGGGGGTTGGTTACATTCAGTCTGGTCCTTTTCACCTCATCCTTACTGCTATGAGTGAAACACAATTATATACTAGTGTACACTATCACAATTGCTGCAGAGTGCATAAACCTTTTCCCATGTGCATCCAGCCAAACACAGGAGCTACCAAGAAATGGCAGAGAGAAACTTATCCATTTCTGCAAAGACTTGCAGGAATTGGAGAAAGAGAAAAACAATCTTTGCCACATCATTTCTTCTCATTTTTTAGAATAATTTTGCTATGGGCTGTTCATTAGTCTATGCAGAGCAGTCAAGTAATGGGTGTTATGACATTTCTTAGCAGATGTTAAACGTTAACATTCTTGGAAGGAATGAAGAAAAGAACTTGTCTGGAATACTGAGGAAGATTGCACATTATTTAGAAAGAATGGTTCACTTGGTATAGCCTTCATTTATACAATGAAACCTAACTTTTCTTCATAAAAAGGAGAAAAAAAATCCCTTCAAGAAGGAAAACCAAGAAAAGCTTATAAACTACCAGTTTTTTTTTTTTTGATTTTTATTTTTTATTTTTTTTAAATAAAAAGGCTTGGAAAGTCAAAGAAGCAGAAAATTCTCACCATGAATCAAGGAACTGTTGAGCCATTTCACGTAATAACTGTTCGGGTAGAGGTGAAGAACTTCATTGCTTATGATAGAGATGGGCAGAAGAAGTACAGCACCGAAAGATATGGCAAGGGTCAATGTGCATAGAAAGAGGCTGTAAGATAACAAGAAAACATACAATCAAACAAGAGTTTCAGGATAACATTTAAGATTCAACTACAATCACTGTATATGCTCCTACTCTTTATTTGTAATTATCTGCTTAGAAGGAAAATCCTCAGTTTGTAATAGCCAAATTTCTTTATTGATTTATTTATTTTTTGTGGTTTATCTACAGTTTGCCGGTTAATTAAAGACAGAAAATAGTTTTAAATTGTAAGAATTTGGTTGGGGGGGTGGATAATAATGGTTTTTGTAATAAAAATCTTTATTTAACCCATAGTTGGGAGATGATGTGGAATCATACCTTTCACAAAGGTATTTGTGTGTAAGTGAATATAATAAATCCAACTGGAATTGGAACTCAGCTCACCAATTAACAATGCTGAGCCATTATTCATTACACCACCCGCACATCCAAGCATACAACACCTTGTATTTGTAAACGGACATCCATAGAAGTACTGACCAGGCTCAATCTTGCTTAATTTAACTAGAATTGGTGTTTCAAAATAATGTGGCTGTAAGCCCAAATTTCTTTAGCAACTGCAAAATCTTTTAAATTTAAAATAATTTTTAATATTCAAGTAAGGAAGCATGGTGGAGTAACAGAGAGCAGCTCGAGCTGAGGAATTGGAGAGTCAAGTTCAAATTCCAGTTGGGTCCATTACATTCACTTACGTGCTAATACTCTAGGAAAAGGGTATGAATCCTCTTCTCTCTACCCCCAACTATGGGTACATAGCAGGACAGACTGGGTTCTATATCCTTGGGTGGTAACCGGTCTAGGAGAAGGAAAAACTCTCAATTAAAACCGGCCAGGATAGGGTTGGGCTCAGTCAGTCCATCTTGCCCAACAAACACCACTACTACTGCGGCTGCAGTACACATTGTGCCCCTACGACCCTACAGGTCATGGGATAAAAAAAAAAAAAAATATTTAAAAAAAATCTAACTCAACCTGTACTGAAAAAAACAATGGCTATATTTAAGTATTTGGATTGGTTATTATTTACAGGCTGGAGATATCAAATTATATTTCTGGAGGTTTAAAGAAAAAACAGCGAAGCTAATGTTATTTAAATGAGGTTCTTTATTTTACTGCTGGATTAAAAGGATAACAACTAACACAAACACAAAATGCAAATTCCTTATTACAAATGAAATACAGGTAAAAATGACGAATTATTTAATGAAACCCTTGTTTCCATTTATTGTTTCATAACTTCTCCACATCAGGTGAAATATTTGTCGATGACAGGAGAAAATCATCTAGGTCAGGGTTTCTCAACATGGTCCAGGTGGACCATCAATGATTCACATAATATTTCTAATGGTCCACAGAGAATTTGTAACCATAAAAAATTGTAGCCATTTCACAAAAATGTATCTAAATTATTCATACTTTGAAGAATTAAAAATATATTTTCTTTAATTACACAAATGTCCATTATATTTGAAAATATATAGGTATTATGCAATTATATAGGTATTTTATATCATATATATATATATATATATATATATATATATATATATATATATATATACACTAATATAATTTTTTTTATTCAACAGCAGAAGAACTATCAGACTAAAACTGAATGACACCATCAAAATTGATTATGATATCTTGTGTCAGAAACACCAAGATCAAGGTAGTCACTAGCTAAATAGACTAAGACTGAATGACATCATCAAAATTGATTAATATCTCGTGTCAGACACACTAACATCAAGGTAGTCACTAAATGGGCTACTTGTGTGAATCAAGGTAGTCACTAGCTGAATAACTAAGACTGAATGACATCATCAAAATTGATTATGATATCTCGTGTCAGACACACTAACATCAAGGTAGTCACTAGCTGAATGGGCTATGATATCTTGTGTGAGAAACACCAAGATCAAGGTAGTCACTAGCTGAATAGACTAAGACTGAATGACATCATCAAAATTGATTATGATATCTCGTGTCAGACACACTAACATCAAGGTAGTCACTAGCTGAATGGGCTATGATATCTTGTGTGAGAAACACCAAGATCAAGGTAGTCACTAGCTGAATAGACTAAGACTGAATGACATCATCAAAATTGATTTTGATATTCTCTGTTTACTAAAATAAATTTTAAAGTGTAAATAGACTACTTTGTCTTTTCATTTAGTATTTTAGTGTGAAAATTGAACAGCCTAAAAGTAAAAGTAGGAGTGGTCCATTAAAATGGTCCATGGGCTGAAAAAGATTGAGAAACATTGATCTAGGTAGTCATTGCCTGACCTTGTTCATAAACAACTTTTAGTATATTTCATTTTCAAAAAAAGTTGTTCAAAGCATATGTAATTTCAAATACCGATACCATCATTTTCGCATTATTCAATAGGCCTTTATATCTTCCGTTTGGAAAAACTTATTTCTTGTAGAAGTCTACAGTGGATTCAGATTTAAATTTTGATTTTAAAAAAAATTTTGTCACATTGTAAGTTGATTAATTCCAATTGATATTTTTCTGGCACTTGCTCCACATCTGTTTTGTAAGGAATACGAAACAATTTAAATTGATTTTCAGAAATCAGCGAAATGAGAGGAAAACTCTCTTCTCAAATCCTAAATAGAACTCACAAAGATGTCCAGTATTATATTATTCTTGTGGTTTGGGAGATTTGGAAAATGAGAGTAGTTAATACTTAACACTATCATAAAAAATTAAATAAACAGTAATTATTATGAAATACAGACACCACTAGACAACAAACTCAAATGAAAAACTCCAAGGAAAATAGAAAGTAACTTTTCCTTTGACACTATGTGACACTGGTAAAAGGAAAAGGTTGATTTAGAATATGAACTGGAACAGAAAAAAAGGGTTAAAGGTATAGAACAACATATAAACTGAAAGAAGGAAGAAAAGACATATCTGAAAAGAATGATTTTATTGGTTTGGGGAAATGATATTATCAAAAGGTTATTTGTAAGATTCCAGATCACCGGGGCTGAGAAGGAATAGTGAATTATATTCTAAGTCAGTAGAGAATTTAGGAAATGAAATAGAAATGGAGAAATTGATTTATGTCTGCTTGCTTAAAGTGAAAGTTATGAAAACATGTCTCATGATGGCCAAGTGGAAGAAGGGGTTAACTGAGTTATAACATTTGGTAAATTTTGAAGATGAAAGCAGCATCAAGAAACTGATTTATGCCTCTGTCAAAGAGTGGAAATGTAAACAAATTGAGAAATAGGACTTTTTGAGATAACAAATGAACCTGTAAGGTTCATAAGTACGATTAAGCGAACAAAATATGAAGACAAGTATTTACTATTAAAGGGCCAAAGGAAGCAGCTGGTAAATCTCTGCACAAACAAGACCAGAGGCTGAGAAAATCTGTTGTTGAAAATTAAGATAATTACAATTAATGACTTTTTGCCAACACAGTTTAAAAATCAGACTTGTCAAAGAGACAGCCAAGATGGCAAGCTTAGTTGAGATACTAAGGGAGATGGAGAAATTACCTCTGCCCATTTGGAACTAATGGTGTGAGGCATAAATAAGAGAAAGAAGGAGTTATATGGGTAGGCCAATACCTGCAACCACTACTCATACTTTGATGTGGTTTAATGTTAAGCAAGTTTGTCTTGTTAGATCACTTACAACTAAACAGTGAGTTCTTTTCTCACTGATGTCCCATATTTTCACCTTGTGTCACATCTAAGTTACGCTTAGAAAATCACCATAAATTGACTTCATGAAATGCATGAGTTATAATCTTTTGAAAAAATGATTATTTGTGTATAGTGCACTCCCTTATTTAGTTTTTTTTTGTGTAAAAAAACACATGAAAAACAGAGGCTTGTGTGTAAACAGTAAAATTTTCATGCGGACTTTTAAACTAGTTCCTACAGAGGGTTAATTGGGCCTCAAGGCCAAAACTAAAGGGATGTCTGGTCCAGCTTAGAAAACACCAATGATAATTCTGAAGAAATAACTTTGAATTACTCAGTTCATTCCATGGAACTTCAAAACTTCACTTTAGCTGATTCAGGCTATAAGTACAATTCCGGCTAAAAGTCTGATTTGGGCTGAAATTCCAATTCAGGCCAAAAATTGAGTTCTTCAAATCACAAACTCTGTGGAACTTCAAAAACCTCATGTCACAAAACCTCTCACTCTGATTCTTTCTCATTTAAAACAATTTTTTTAAAAAATTCAACAAGTTTTTGTGCTACTTTAAACTCAATATAAATTAAAAACTTTTAAAATTATTAAATTTATTAGAGCAAGTGTGGCTTGATTTAGAGGGGTTTCAGACACATAGATGGACAGACAGAATTTTCCATTTATTTATTTAGATTATATTAAAATATCTTTTAAAAATGAGGGACATAACTGCAGGAAGTTTGAAAATATCTTTTGATCTACAAAAGTGGGTCAATAAATCTGTAACCTGATTGATTTGTTTTTTGAAGGTTATTTAAAGGCAGAAAATGATTTAGATTATAAGAATTTTGGGAGTTAATATTGATTTACTGATAGAATTCCTAATAACCCATAGCTGGTTTGGGGGGGGGGGGTAGAAGAGGTAGATTCGTACCTTTCCCAAGGGTATTTGTGCATAAGTGAATATAATGAACCCAGTCAGCTTCCAATCCAAGTTTACAGTACTTGGTATTCCAAAGTAGTCACCAATCTAGGTACTGACCATGCTCGATGATGCTTAACTTAGGTGATTATATGGAAACCAGTGTTTCAACATGATATATATGTAAGCCTTCTGTAGCCTGAATCTGAAATTTTCATAATGTTTTGATCTATATGATTAATATTCACCACTGAGTTAGATACACTGAGAAGGAAAGTGTGGAGGCAGAGCAATGTGTAGCAGCCCAGATTGAGGAATCGAAGAGCAGAGTTTGAATTCCAGTTGAGTTCATTATGTTCCCTTATGCGTAAATACCTTGGGGAAAAGTATGAATCCAACTCTTCCATCTCAGCTATG